TCCTATGAGGAAAGGTTGCGGGACCTGAACCTGTTCAGCCTTCAAAAGAGAAGGCTGAGGGGGGATCTTGTGGCCTGTTATAAACTGGTTAGGGGGGATCAGCAGGCGCTGGGGGAGTCCCTGTTCCCCCGAGCGCTGCAAGGAGTGACCAGGAACAATGGTCACAAGCTGGCGGAGGGAAGGTTTAAGTTGGACAGTAGGAGGCGCTACTCCACGGTCAGGGCGGCTAGAGTCTGGAACCAGCTTCCAAGTGAGGTGGTGCAGGCTTCCACCCTGGGGGTTTTTAACAGGAGGTTGGATGACCACCTTACTGGGGTCATTTGACCCCAGTGCTCTTTCTGCCATGGCAGGGGGTCGGACTAGATGATCTGCTCAGGTCCCTTCCGACCCTAGAAACTATGAAACTATGAAGGCCATAATACAGTGAAAAAAGCAGTGCTTTGCTTTTCAAATAGAACCACTCAAGTCCAAAACCAATCATCTGTGCTGTATTAGACTAAAGGAGGTAGTGGCAGTTTAGGAGGATTTATTCTGCTTTGCCCTGTGAAACTAGACACTACCAACAACTTTCTGGTCTTGCAGTATTTGAAGCAGTATTTGATGATCTGAACAGGTCTTCCAAGTCCTCTAAAATAATCTAAAATTTTTGTTTGTCCCCTATCTGGTCTTCCACATCCCCGACACACTCCCAGTGTGGGAGGCAGCACATGCTGCCCCAGGTGGAAGTGGGCGGGACTCAGTCCCACGCAGAGCGCAGCGGGGCAGCCACCAGAAGGGCGAGATACAACTAGTTGATGGGTGCCAGCCTGTGCCCTGGATCTAATCAGCTGGCGAGCCAAATCCAGTCTGTGGGTCATATTTTGCCTACCCCAATCTTAACCCCACTCACACTCTCTTTTTAAAATAACCGTTTACAAGTGTTGATAAGCATCAGCTTATTAAAAACTGATATATTTCTTACCACTCCATAATATTATATTTTCAAAAATATGTTTGCTGAATGTAAGAAAACAGATGTCACAGGCCAAATCTGCGCCCTTACCAAATTCAAGAGGCATTTTCAAGTCATTCAAACTACAGTTACACATAGTAGAGAGGACATGGTGGCAGAGTTGTTAATAAATCTGCTTTTGATCAAGGTATCTTGCTTTTGGTTAAGGCTCACATCAAAAGCAGCCTGTAGTGGACTCAGAAGTCCAAATACATCAATTCCTCATATGCCACTGGCTACAGAATCTGACATACCTTTGTCACACCATGGGCTGCTAAGTTTGGGAGGACCTTTGATACAAAGCCCTGGTACTGTAGCACACTGTTAAAGTGAACTTTGAGACTTTTCTCAGCTGTAGAGCACCTCTATGGGAACTTGTAATGTCCTTGTGCCTGGACATTTTAAGTCAGCAGACAGTTTTGCCACTTTCTCCCTTCACCTTGCCAGTAACACTTCTCCCTTTGCTTCACAAATATTATACAAAACATGCAGCTATCAGAAAATCTAACTAAGATCCAGTTTAGTCATAAAGCACAGCCAGTATCATTTCAACCCATCAAAAGTTCATTAAACAATCATCTTGAACCCATCAGGATGTTCCTTGCTGCTGATTAGGTATCTGTTTATGGATTCATAAACCAGAAAGGAAATGGGTAAACTCAGTCCCCCCAAAATGAGAGTTAGCAATGCAATACCACTAACAAGAATGTGCCAGTTGGGAGATTCTTACTTGCAGATTTCCAAGAAGTGCCATGTTCCTAAAGATGGGAACAGCACATTCTCATATAACATTAAAGTCAGCAAAATATTCCCCACACTTACTTAACTTTCAGTTTACATACATAGAAAAGGGTGTGTGCATACGTCTGTGCATGAGGGAGAGAGAGGGAGGGCAGAACTGGAACATTCATCCTGTTCATTGTGCTAACAGTATGGTGAGCCCATTGCTTCCAGTCACCTAACACGTAAATACTGCAGTATTTTTAGCACTATGTCAGTGGGCACCAACCTTTTTGGTGGACCTGCCACAAATTAGCCCTGTACCATCCCCCAGTGCCACTCTGATCCCCTTGCCTCTGCACACACTGATGCTCTGCTTTCTGCCACTGTCCTGCCTGTCCCCTATCTAGCCTGCCACATGCCACACACACAGGCTGCTCATGCCACTTGTGGCACATTTACCACAAGTTGGCCCCTGGTCTACGTCATCCACTCCGCCTCCTTGGATGTCTCATTTCCTTCATGGAACTGTGGATTGTTAAGGTAGTTGCTGTAATTTTGCAGATACAGATGGACCATTATCATCATCATTATCACTATTACCCTAGATTTATATCCTGCCCTACCTAAACTGCTGCAGTTGTTTACAATAACGAACAACTCATACCTAGGAAACAAGAGCAGACTCCACAAACAGCACCACAAAATTTGAAAGCTACAAGTGCCTCTCTCTGAAACAGGCATTAGACTTCTCCTCACCTGTGCAGGATCTGTGTTTCTGAAAGCAAGAGGCAGAAAATGAAAAGCCAAGCAAGAAACAGTGGAAACTTTTAAAAGGGTATAATAAATTATAGGATCAAGGAACATAATAGCATATATAAAAGGGAACTATAGGAACATTACCCAGAGCTCAAAAAATTTGCTGAGTGCAGTGCTGGTATCCCACTATGCATTACAAAAATGAATCTCACAAAACTGTCAAGAC